TCTACCTATCATACGGCAATTAACTGACATCTGAGCGAGAACAGGCGCGACAAAATACGGCGATGAATGGAAGTTGTAATGTCAGGCGCAAGTTGTTTCTACTCGGAACGTTCTTCACCTCGTATTGGGTCTCCCACACTTCCCATGGGTTGCCCATGGGCAGCCCATGGGCGGCCAGTGAGAAGGCTTCGACCGGAACCGGTGTAAACAATAAATTATCTGCTTTGGAACGGGCAATATGGCGACAAATAGCCGTAACCCTAGCCCTAAACCTAAACCTAACCCCAAGCCCATTCGATACGTGCCAGGTTGGCGCCGGTGGCTAAGTTCTAGGTCGATGTGCAGTGGATAAGTTCTAGGTTGATGTGCCGGTGACGAACTTCTAGGTTGAAGTGACAACAGTGGGCACTTCATGCGCACTTGATGGGCCGCCCATGGGCATGGCCATTGGTGCCCGATGGGTGTCCCATGGGAGGTTTAGCAAGGCTGTCCGTAGTGTGGGAGATTGCTCGTAGGTCTGTTCGTGTAAGATCACTGCCCGTGATACTGCCGAAGCACCGCGCACCTCAACCAACCCCCTGTTGACATTTACCCTAGTAGCCGTTCGAATCGCACAGAGTCCGGATGCGGAGGTACTGGTCTTGCATCGTTCTGTCCTCTTGGGTGTAAAGGAGAAGTTCCTGTGTCCAGAACTTCCGCCCCCAGTCTCACGGTTTTCCTCAAATCAGTAATCGCTGCGCCTCTTCTTGTGCCGTTGAATTCCCTGCTTTGTCTGTGGGTTGGCAGACCGCGTCGTGGAGGCGTTGGGCACGGACTTCGTTCAAGATGGGCACATTTGACTAATCAGAAGCGGCATGGTTACCCACGACTTCCCCGACAATGTAGGTGGATGATGTCGAGAGTTGAGTGCTTTCATTTTCGTCGGCGGCGGCAGCGCTGGCACTACGGGGTTTTGATGTTGTGGCGGTGAACTGTGGGCCTTACATTTCGTCCTCCTTAGCTTAAGGGAACGTTTTCATTTTGCCAAGAAAACGAGGAACAGGAGGGGGGCGTGGTTGTTACACAGCGGAACGTCTGCCAGAGGCGAGAGCTTAAGTTGGGATCTCGAGGGAGTTGCCGTTGTTCGGAAATGGGGCCAGCCTTGGAGGCGCAGGGTGGTGGCCAAACTCTGGGAACCGATGTGAATGTGTTCCGCGTTGGAGTCAAGGCGGGTTGAGCTCAAACACGTTCGTTGGGCCGTATGGTAATTGGCCTTCGTGCTGTACATCGGGCAGTCTACTTGGAACAGGAAACGCGGCTATGGTATCATTATCGCCGTCCGCAGCCGTATGCACCTGAGCCTTTGCTTGTCTTCTCTTTGTTCTGTTCCTCGCTTCCTTCAGGCGGAGAAAATTAAGTTGTTGTTTGTCGTAAACCCCATTTTGAAGGGTCAGCTGTCTGTTGCAGAGGTGATAGTTTTCGCAAGGCACTTGCCTAGGGTGATTCTTGTGGGTTGGCAGCTTGAGAGGTTTTAAGGAGCGGGCTTGATGGGGTTTGTTGGTAGATGAGAATGGGACGACATCTTACCAGGTCGGGGTTTGGAGAAGAATCAGAGGAAAAGCTGTGATTTCTTCGTGAAGATTCTGATGCCCCTGGGGTTTAGTTTAATGCCTGTCGCGCAAATTCTCAAACCTATAGTTAAGAGTATTCAATTTTGACACCGTTTTATTACCCCAAAGCTCTTGACCCCAGCTAGGCCGCATTTATTTCCGGTTTTTCTTGGTTTAACACTTAGCGATCTCCGGTTTCTTCTCAAAAAACAAGTTGTCTTTCTTCGGTGGATGTTCTCAAGATTGCAAGGACGGACTTTCGAGTGAGGTGGAAGAGTTGTGCTTCTTGCCCCCGTCCGACCCTCCTGCAAGTTTCGTACAAAGCATGTGGCCCTTTTTGAGATACGCGGCTCTCTCTTCTATGCGTTACTCGTAGTTCTCCTCGGTATGAGCACAAGCAGTAGGTAGTAGCTTGGTACAGGTCGCTTGACGATCTTGCTCCACGATCGTGTAGAAATGGGAAAGTTGCTTGTTTTTTGCTGAGAGGTCTGAGCTGAAGTGCGCTACAATTTCAGCTCAGGGGGCACGCAAAGCAGACAATTCTGACAGTGGTATGGGCACCAACTCGAAGACGTGCACTTCCACGATGCCGACATCGGGCTCATTGGTCGACATATGAACCGATGGCTGAGTGTCGACCACTCATTCTGTCTTCATCAAGTGTAGCGTCCGTGCGGGTAGCGACAATGTTGGCAACGGTCTCGGGCGTAGCGCTTGGTCTGTTCTACAACAACGTTCTCAACGCACACAAATCAATAACCCTCACAATACATCTGATCACGTCTGGCACACTACGCCATTTGTGCCCCTACTTCCTAAACATACTATTGTGTCGAACTCGACGTTCCCTGGAAAAAGATAAAGACGTTCGTGTCAAATCACTTACTAGACTCTAGGCTACCAACCAATACTTGTAAAGGCTTGCGCTTGTCGGCAAACCGGATACACGCATTTCGGGAGTGTCAGGCTGGGTCTAAACATTTTAACGGAAATTACAACAACTAGACCCATGAGGACCTACACATTACGGGTTGATGTCATGTCAATTTGCTTAATACAACCAAGTCCCTCGCTAGTCACAAACAAATCTGACACGACTCCCTGGGTTGGTAACATTGTAAGCTGAGAACTCTACATTGCCGATTCGAATTTCTCTCCGAAGGGAAAAATCTAATCTAAATCCAGAATGGAAAAACCGCAAAATCTTGCAATACACACAAATATATAGGGAAGGAGCTGCTGAACCCTCCTCGTGCATAAACATTAGGGGAAGAAGCATCACAGGAGGAAAACCTCCACTATAATACTTGTTTCCTTCCTGCCGTGTGACCCCTGCCGGTGCGTCAAACATGTACCAATAGGTGTAGACTGGCGCCCAGAACTGGGACGAAAACATACACGTCATGAATACATTCTACAACAACATGATCAACAAGATAACACTACTACGAAGTAAAACAAGGAAGTGACAACACAGAGAGTACAGGCCTGGAACCAACAAGAAGCTACACAGGCCATGTACGGAGTTGGTTCGAAACAACATCGCGTGCCGGAAGACATTTAACGTCATGCACTTGCCCCCCCCCCCCCCCCCCAAAAC